GCTGGCATTCTTCCAAGTGAGGTAAAAAACTCTACTTGGTGTATGGTCCTGTAACCACAACACAAAATGGACTGGGGTGACTTTCCTTTTATGTTTCAGGACAAGGTTGTTGCTGCTATGTCTTTGATGGCTTGCATGTCCTCTGTTCCTCCCCTCCCGTCTTCCCTTGTGTGTTGATGACACCTGGCCATGGTTCGTCTTGACCCTTTTCTCTTAACATCTTGCATATATACTACAGGTTTTTCTTATCTCTTTCTTTTTCTTCCTTTCCTCTTTTCTTTTTCCCTCCCTCCCTCCCTCCCTCCTTTCCTTCTTTCCTTTCTTCCTTCCTTTCTGTCTTTCTTCATTCCTTCCTTCTTTCCTTTCTTCCTTTTTTTTTTTTTCTCCTTCAAGACAGGGCTTCTCTGTATAACCTTGGCTGTCCTGGAACTTGCTTTGTAGACCAGGCTGGTCTCAAACTCAGAGATCCACCTGCCTCTCCCTCCAAGTGCTCTCACAAAGAGGGTTTTTATTTGGAGAGAGGGAATGGGAAAAGTGGGGGAAGGGAAGGAGGGAGGCCAGCCTCTGGGGACAGGAGCAGTGGAAGGGGGGGGCAGAGGGAGAGAGAGACACAGAGAGAGACAAAGAGAGCAAGAGACAGATACAGAGAGACAGAGGCACAAAAGCTTTCCTGCCCCTTCAGAGGAGCAGCAGGCAGAAATTCATAGTCTTATGGAAGCTCCCTGTGTATGAAAATTACTTTTCTGTTCCTTTCAAACTCTTTGCATAGACTTGAGGTTTAATGTGACTTGTCTTGGTGTTTTGTGACCTTGTGAATCAAAGATTATTCCTTCCCTGAATTTTGGAAGTTTTCATTCATTTATTTTTTGTTTGTCCGGAGACTTGGTGTTTTTATGTAGTCTCAGCTGGCTGGAAACTTGCTATGTAGACCAGGCTGGCCTCTGACTCACAGAGATCCACCTGTCTCTGCCTTCTGAGAGCTGGGATTAAAGGTGTTCACCACCATGCTTCCTTTATTTATTTCTTAGATGATCTTCACCCGTCTTTTTTCTCTTTCTCAGATAGCCACGCTGCATTGATTATTTTATTTTCTTGAATTTTCTATTTGTTCTTTTTACTAGACCATTTTAAAAGTGTCTTTGAATCGAGGATTCTTCTATTTCATTGGTTTTGCTGTTAAAATGCTCCGTTGCAGGACACGGTGTTTCTCAATCCCCTATATTTCTGTCTGTTTTAAAAAGTGGTTCTGTTTCTTTACTGCACTTCTCCTTTTATTCAAACATGATTTCCTGATTCCATTTTGCTGCCTGTTTTGTTTCTTAGTACCCTGCTTTTTAAATTGAAGATTTTTTTCCATACAATGTATTCTGATCACAGTTTCTTCTCCCTCATTTCAGACACATCCCAGATCCTCCCCACCTATCCAACTCTTCCTTCCTTCCTTCTTTCCTTCTCTCTCTCTCTCTCTCTCTCTCTCTCTCTCTCTATATATATATATATATATATATATACATATATATCTCAAAAAGGCAAAACAAAAGAAACAAATAACTCCAGATTTTAAAAACAAAACGAAGAAAAAGCATGGGACGCACCCCCCCCCCCCCAAATAGAACTCATAAAAACACAAAATTAGAAACCACAACATTCAAGGAAGAGACCAGTAAGGTAATTTCTAGATAAAGCAATAAGTAGGACCAAGAATCTCCAACAGCACCACTGGGTTCATTTTGTGTAGCCATCTACCGCTGAGCCTGCCCTCAAGTGTGGTTTGTAAACACAGTGAGACTGCGTTGGAGAAAACTTACTTTTCCTTTGCAAGGGTTGCCAATTGGAGACAGCTTCTTGGTTAGGGATGGGAGCTTGGGTCCAGCTTCCCCTCTCTGTGCTGGGACCCCATCTGACTTGGATCTGTGCAGGCCCTGGGCATGCTGCCTCAGTCTCTGTGAGTTCATACATTGGCCAGTCCTACTTTGTTTCGAAGGCCCTGTTTCCTTGGTGCCCGCCATCCTCCTGACTCTTACAGTCTTTCATCTCCTCCTCCACATAGCTTGTTGACCCCTGAGAGGGGAGATTTGATGGAGACATCCCATTGGGGGCTGAATGTATATACAAGGCACTCCTGTATATTGTCCAGTCTGGGGTCTCTGTGTTAGCTCCCATCTACTGAAGAATGAGGCTTCTCTGACGATCATTGCCTTATAGTTCATTAAGTTTTAAGGAAATTGTTCTGAATTGTTTTTCAGATCTTCGTTTCTTTGTGGTAAGTTATCCGTCATTTGAGTTTTATTACTTTTCGATGGCAATGTTACGAAGAAAACCACATTAAGCATAAACACACGAATTAGTTAGGAAGGTAAATGTGGCAGCCATGGAGGCCAAAGCTGCAGGAGAGTCATTCAGTGGAAGACTAAGTGCAAATTAAGACAACGGTGGTGAGACAAAGGGGAGAGAAACAAATGAAGGCATAAGGGTGGGAGATGTCACCATACCAGGCCATGAATTGAAGAAGACACCAAGAGGATCTCTTTCTGCCTGTCCTCCTCTGAGGTGAAGGCACATGAAGCTTGTTGAGTCTGTATGGCTCAAAGTGGCAATGAGAGCTGGGCATATAGCTGGTGCCTTGCCTGCTCCTAGACTGCCTGATCACCACCTTGTCTCCCGGTCCAGGTCCTGCCTGCTTGACTGTGGTAGCTTGCAAGACTGCACAGGAAGATGTCTGTACTGTGGCTAAGCTCAGCCGGACTCAATCCTGCCTGCCAAATGAGGACAGGTGCCTGCGCTTCTTAGATGCCTGGACCCATTTACTGCCCTCTAGTGGCTATGGCTTGTTTTACAGCAGAAGGAGTAAGACCTCCATTCTCAGATACGGTAAATCGGATGGTGAGGAAGAGGAAGGACAACAGAGGATCAAACTGCCTGCAAGTTATCCTTCATGTCTACATTTTGAACAGTGAGGTGACATTATCCACTGCCAGGAGGTTTCTTTAGGGAAGGGACTGATTTTGCTTAGCAAAATATCTTGATAGCACCCTTTATGAATGAGACAGAAGAGGCAAAGATCAGAGTTGATAGTATACTGTATGCATGAGACCGAAGAAACAGATCAGAATTGATAGCATTTATGAATGAGATAGAAAAAACAGATCGGAGTTGATAGCATGCTGCATGAAGAAGACATAAGAAACCGATCAGAGTTGATAGCATTTATGAATGAGATAGAAAAAAACAGATCGGAGTTGATACTATCCTGTATGAATGAGACAGAAGAAACAGATCAGAGTTGATAGCATACTGCATGAATGAGACAGAAGAGACAAAGAGTAGAGTAAGTAAAAGCCAGTGGCGCTGAGTGGGGAGGGCAGAGCTGGAGACAACGTTGGAGGAAACAGAGGGGAAGAAGAGCCTTCGAGGACTGGAACTACCATAGTGGACCCTTAAGCAGGCTTCTGCTCTCCATCAGTGATGAATACCAGCGCCTCCAGTTGCCTGGCTCTAAACTCTGCCCGGAACCTTCAGAAAACCCCAGGAAGCTTTTCTTATTGGCAGTGCAGCTAAGAAAATCTTTGTTGTGGGGAATCAGGAGACAAAGGACTCTGAAGAATGAAAGTGGGGTCTCCTGACCAGCTCCTGATTTGTGTGCGCTGTTTCTCTGTGATGTGATTCCTAGCCTCTGCTGACCCCGAAAGTTTCAGTGAAGGCTGCTCACACACACAGGCTTCCATGAGGAGTCTGGGAAGAAATCACAGCAGCAAGGCTACTCTGCATCTCAGTATCAGGAAGCAGGGGGTAGGCCGTTCTGCTGGAAACAAGATCTAAGGAAGCTCACGAACCCAGTGGGGCCAGCACAGGGGCGACATTAACAGTGGGCATCACAGAGAGCATGGATGAAGTACGGAGCTTCCCATCTTGATTTCATTTCTACAGTAACTTTTAAATAAAATGTTTAGAATAATTAAGAATTTATATAACGTTATACAATAAGAACAATTAGAATAGCGTCAAAGAAAATGAAGAGGGCGTCTACTACTCTTCAGTTTTCCTGAATGCTCATATCTCATGTGACCACAGTGCTTTGCCGAAAGCAAGGGATCTACGATGGACAATTTACAGTGCTTCTTCGGATTAGATGAATGCCCCATTAACGTGATGCTGTGCGTTCAATCCAGAGTCCCCCCAGTGCTCTTAGCACCGCAGGGTCTCCATCATATTGAACTTTGACAGGCCAGAGGCTTCAGTGTGCCTACCATGGCTTCGGTGTACGAAGTGAAGAGACGGGGAAAGTATTGGCTTTGGGACACTAACGGACAACCATGACTCTGCTCCAAGCTCCTGCCCACTTTCCACATGGGCAAGTAGGAACGCCTTCCAGATTCCACTTTCACCACCATAAGCTTGTATCCCAAGAGGCCAAGCACAGACGACAAAGCTTAGCGGGTCTGTTTTCCAACCCTCTGAACCCACCTTGCTGAGCACTTCTGTGTCAGGCTGACTTCCGGTCCCCATCACTGCAGCCCCACAGCCACGCGACAGAGAAAGTAGGGTTCCTATATTATTTTACATGTGACAAACCCGGACCCGGAGCTGGGGATATGGCCAGGATGATACAACTGAGTGGTGGAGCAGGACTGTGAACTGTAACTCAGGCCTGTCCCTTTCTAGGGGTGGACACAACTTGGTAGATGTCAGGTCACCAGGATGGCACCTTCTCTAGTAAGACATTGTCACTGTGTTTAACGCAGGAAATTTGTAACCCACAAAGGCAGGTCACCAAAGCAGTTCCTGATCTAGCAGCTCAACAACCACTTCCTCCTATCCAGGGCATGCCCAGATTGTCAATGCCACCCTGGGAGTGATTCCCCAAGAACCCTGCATGCTGGGTCCTGACTCTTGTGAACACAGGTTTCAGTTGGCATGGATAGGCAGAACTTCCACTGCCTCTGAGAAATGGGAGCAGGGAAGACAGTTCTGGTACCCCAGGGCCCAGGTTCTTTCCTTACCAGACTTCTTAAGGCCATCCCTGCTGAAGTTGGAGGACAGCATGTTTAAATGCTTGCCTTTAAAGTCTGTTCCATACCCTCTCAGGTAACCACCGACGAGCTTCTTGCTGCTGTTTGGATCTTGATTCTTGGAGCCATGAGGTACATTATTCTCAGCAGCCTCCAAACCCAAATGGAGAAATTGCCACCATTAGGTCAAGGATCTGCCCTGGGCCCAGGAAGAGTTCAAGGGAGCTAGAGTGCCCTCTCTGCTGGCTTACTGAGTCTTCACTTTTATTTCTCCTTATCTCCTAGGGGTACAAGCAGCCCATACCTGCAGGCAGGTTGGGAATCCCTTCGAGCTACAGGGCTGAGTGCTCCCACAGTTCTCCAGGCCCTGGCATCCCTGAATGTGGAGGGATGTGGGTGGAGGAAGGTCCTAAAACTGGACCTTAGGAAAGTAGGGATTGTTGGTCAAGCAGTGCAGGGTGAGTGCGGGTGCAGGAGACTCATTTGTTGAGCTGTCTTTATGGGGCAGAGGGGCATCTAGGGGTCTTCACAAACCTCATGACCAGACATTGTAGTAGAGGAGCAGCTGTGGGGAGAGGTGGAGGGCTGATTACCTTGTTGAAGGTCACCTTGTGGCCATCTTTGTCCTGCTTCTTCTTAGCGCCCATGCCTTTCTTTGCCCTGTCTTCTGCATGGTGCGCATCCACCATCTTTTTCTGAAAGGGCAGGAGAAAGAGACCTGCAGTCACCCTGTGAGGGTTCTGTGCACTGTCCCTAAACAGGAGAGCCCTCCTGGAATGTGGGAATCCAAGTCTTAGTACCTTCACTCTGGGAGCCTCTTGTCCCTGTGGAAAGCTCATCAGTCACTTGCTCAGTGGCCACACTTCCCTGGGCAAATGTCTGCTCTCTATGGTTTGGTTTAGGTTCCATGAGCAATAACCTCTGGATGTGACAGAGCCTTTTAAAGGGCTGGTTGCTGGTGGAGGGCAGCCCTGAAGCCCCAGGGCAGATCGGTTCCAGTTTGGTCCCTATTGATAAAACACCACGACCAAAGCAGCTTGGGAGGAAAGGATTTGTGTGGCTTATATGTCTCTATCACAGCCCATCACGAAGGAAATCAGGGCAGAAACTCAAGCAGGAACCTGGAGGCAGGAACTGCTGTAGAGCCCACGAAGGAGTGCTGCTTACTGGTTTGCTCTCCATGACTTCCTCAGCCTACTTTTTTTATACCGTCCAGGACCCGGGTGCCTCTACATCAGTTCCTGCCTCCAGGTCCCGGCTTGAGCTGAGAGCTTCCACAACAGCCTTTAATCAATGGCTTTAATCAAGATGCCTCACATGCTTGCCTACGGGCTATCGTGATGGAGGCACTTTCTTGGTTGAAGTTGCCTCTTCCCAGATGGTCCTGGCTTGCATCACATTGACATCGAAGCTATCCAGCACATTACCCAAAGCCAGGAGTCATCCAGCCGCTTTTCAAGGCTGGCAGCTAGTTTGTGTCAGCACGGTTTTGTTCAGCTTAGTGGGAAAAGGAGTCAGAGTTTGGGCCAAGGCTGGGTTTACAGGTGGAGTAAGGGGTAGGGTGTTTCTCTCCTCCAGGGTGCACCCTGCGTCCTCACAGGGGTGCTCAGAGCAGTTCTGTTACAGTCCCCGTGGGGGAAATGCTACGAAGGTCATGTGATAACGCCTTAGCCAAGTAAAGAGCAGCAAACACTAATAAAAGGCCTCCGCGACAACTCTGGACCTCAGGGGTTCTTCAGCCCAAGTGGATCCTATGGTACCGGCAGCATCATAAGCCATCTGGAATGGGTTTTGGGCTGGTTAGGGACCGTCAGCTTGACTGGATTGAGATTCACCTAGGTTCACAAGCACACCACTGTGTGTGTCTGTGGTGTTTCCAGAGACAACCAGATCCTGAGGGATTTGACCCAATCAAGATTCATCCCTGGATGAATCCATCAAGAGGCAGAGAAAGTGGGAGTCGGCCCAGTGGGAGAAGTAGGTCCCTGGGGGTGTGTCTTCAGGGGCCCTTCCTGGTGATTTTTCTTCTTCCTGCAGCCATGATGTGGACTACTCATCACCACTGTACCCTCCCCTCCAAAATGGCCTGAACCCGGGGGAACATGGCCCAGAGAAACTATCCCTCCCTTCAGTTGTTTCTGCCAGGTGTTTTCACAGTGCTCAGAAAACCACTTAAGGAGGGGCCAAATCAGGCTTGCAGGCCGGACTCCGTGAGGGTGGAACGGAGACCCAAGTCAGGGTTGCAGGCCGGACCCTTTGAGGGAGGAACAGAGTTTGGCACTTGGTGATGGATTTGCGTTTTACAATGTAAAAGTATTTCTTCCCTAGGTTTCAAATTATTTATATGAAGCCACATGTAAGGCAAAGCTTCTGGAATGCTAGAATATAATCTCTCTTAAAGGAGACGGGAACCTATTAACCACGACGAATACTGAATTCCGAGAGATCCAGCGGACAGGCCCTCAACCCCAGATGATGGGAGGAGCCGGCGATCAGAGAGGAATGCTCAGCAGAGGCTGATGGAGTTGGTGCGAGCTCCTTCGCCTGCACGAAAGCAGGTGAGCAGGCAAGCATCTGCCCGAAAGCAGGGTGCGGGGCTGCAGAGAGCGGAGGAGGCTGTGAGGACTGGGCCTAACAAAGCTCAGGCATGTGGGAACTGGATAACTTTGAATTTGAGATATCTCTGTCCTTTATTAAGGCTGTGACCTTTGTTCATCCCAGTTTTCCTATTTTCCAGCTGCGGGCAATCATGGCGCTGGCCGCAGAGCCAGGCTAGGAGCAGTGGCTGACAACAGAGATTAGCTCCAGTGCTGCCTGCCTTATTCATGCTCTCTTCACCCTTTGCTCTGGGGGACAAGAGGCCATAGGAAGCATCCTCGGCAGCTGGGGGATGTGAGATGTATCTTCGGACTTGATTTTCACAAATAATGGGCCCGGGGGACCTAAACTTTGGGGGGAAAGGCCAATTTGGTACCAAGACTCTCCGTAAAAGCGGAATGGGCTGGCAAGAGCCCCTTCAGTGGGGGGAAGAGTAAGGTATATGCTAAAAGGAGTCTCGGTGGGGGACTGGCTGTAGGAACGAAAGATCCACGCTGGAGTCAGCATGGGGAGAGAGGAGGCAGGGGACAGTGGGAAGGCTCCATGCCTGCACCGGGACCCCATAAGCTAGTGCGCATGACTGTTTCCAACACCGACAGGTACTAGCTGTGCCCACAGTTTGACCTAGCGTCAGAGACTTTTCCCTCACCACAGACTCTGACTCAAGTGTCTTGGAGAGAGTCTACTTCAGAACACTTGTGTTTAGGCAATTTCTTTCTCTTCCTCTCTGAAATAGAAATCTTTTAGCCTCATCCTGCATTTTCTATAGCAAAGTGTCTTTCTCAATGACCTGAAGCCATCCCTTAAAATATGACCACCAGGAAAGATTGTAACCCTGTCTTTGGTGGGAGAGAAGAAGCCCAATCGTGACAGTTGCCATTAGGAAACACAGATAGCCTAACCAGGGTGAGCAGTCTCCTCTAGGATTTCCCCACTAGCTTACCCCAATGTTTAAAAAATAATCCCCTTTTGCTCGGGGGTGTCGAATTCCAATTCTTTCTCCTTTTAATAATCTTGCATACAGTCTCGCAGCAATTTCTTCCATCGTACACACCTGGAGGGCACGCTTCTTCTTGCCCTGCCTCCTCTCCAGCCACTCCAGCACCCGGGTGAGGTCGGACATCCGCCTCTCCTCCGCCGTCCTCCAGACGGACTTCCTCTCAGTGGGCATCAGATCTTCTGAGTCTTCTGCCATGCTGATGCCTCGGCTGTGCCCCACAGGAGAGCCTGTCACTCTTTTCTCTTGGTCCTTGGGTCTGCTGGTGAGGCAGGTTGTGTCCTCTGGATGTAAAGATGAAGGGCAGAGGTAGGAAGCATATGGAGGCTGGCCTGGTGGGGCAGAAGGCCTGGAGAGTGACTGTGAGGTCACGGTTGACTTAGCAACTGTCCTCTAGGTCAGGGGTGGGGAGTGGAGGGAGGGTGTAAGTTACCTCTCACTTTTCTCCATGAGCTCACTCCCCCTCCTTGGGTTACTCACTCCCCTGGATTTACAGCCTCTGTTCAAGTTCTATGAGCTTTTTCTTGAGGATATGCAACAGAGATGTCGATTCACCCAAGATAGGGAACCAATGACAGATCAAAATAACAGTCACACCAAAGTTCAAATTGGCTTGCCAATGAGTTTACTGGGGTTACTTAGGTGTCGGGGTGTGGGGTTACTTACATGAGTGGAGATGGCTCACAGACCACTACATCACTGAAAGCCCACCTCACCACGAGTGATAGCTGATAGCTCACAATCTTCTGGCAGATTGATAGGTCAGTGAGCCTCTTTCAAGCAGCCCTGGCTCCTCTTTAGTTCCCCAGTGATTGCTTTATTATTTTTAAGATTAAAAAAAAAATCACTTTCCCCTTTCCTTCTCCTGGACCCTCCCACATTCTCTCCACTGCTCTTTTTCGAATTCATGGCCTCTTTCTTTAACAGTTACTATCATATACATAATATGTATTTCTAAGATATATTAATTAATTATATTAATAATATAATTAATAATATATTATATATTTCTAAATAAAAAACTACAACCAGCTTAGTCTATATAATGTTATGTGTATGTTATCTTCAGGCTGGCCATTTGGTATTGGATAACCAATGGCTATGCCCTTCCCTAGGGAAGACAATTTCTCTTGCTCTTACCATTCCTTAGTTGCCTATAGTTTTTTGTGTAGGGTTGAGACCTTATGAGATTTTCTCTGTCCATGTTAGCATGTCTGTTGTGTTGCCCTTGTCCTTGTTTAGCTCCTGCTAGGGTAGCCATGTTGATGAGACGTCATGGGTGTAGATTCTGACAGTTCTAGGAGACACGATAGTTATGAGTAGATCACCAGAGTTGATCACTCAGACACAGTTTATAGCCAATTGAAAGTCTTTATTCCAGCCGGCTAGAACTACACTCAAATATTTGGGAACCTAGGTGTAGCCCCACGTTTCTAAAATACAGGGCTTTTGAAGGCAACACCCCTAAGCTCAAAGAGCAAAACCCTATCCCAGAATCTTGCTTTGAAGCTGTTGGGGTAAGCAGTTTAACAGAAGCTAAGATAAGCAGTTAACTGGAGGGGTCCTACACAAACAGGTAGGTTTTGTTTTTTGTTTTGTTTTTGTTTGTTTGTTGTTGGTTTTTTTTTTTCCGAGACAGGGTTTCTCTGGATCTTTAGAGCCTATCCTGGAACTAGATCTTGTAGACCAGGTTGGCCTCGAACTCATAGAGACCTGCCTGCCTCTGCCTCCCAAGTGCTGGGATTAAAGGTGTACACCACCACTGCCCAGCTACAAACGGGTAGTTTTAACAGAAGCTAACTGAACTCTGATATCCTGACCTTTGGTTCCTAAAGTAGAGCTGGGTAATTTTCCATGGGATTCTTCATCAAGGAGATAAAATTCCAAGACCTGAAATGGCCTCAACAAAAACTCAAGCTAGAGGAACCTCTACACTGTCTTGCCCTCTCACAGAGTCTTACAGCAAACTCCCTGTTTCCCCAGCTCTTACAATCTTTCTGCCCCATCTTCCACAACCATCTCTGAGACTTGGGTACAAGAGCTGTATTGGAGATGCACCATTTGGGACTGGGATCTACAACTCTATGTTTTGATTGGGTTGTAGATGTTTTCTGTAGTGGCCTCCATCTACTGCAAAGAGAAGATTCACTTATCTTTCTGTTGCTATAAGAACAAGTATTTAGAATATTGTTAGGAATTATGTTGGTTTAGTAAAGTGGCTGTCATAGGTTCTTTTCTAAGATCCATGACTTCACTAGCCCTGGGTGGTTGACTAGGTTTCTAGTAGCAGACATGATTTTACTCTTGTTGAGTGGATTGTAAGCCCAGTTAGGGAACTGTTTGTTACTGCCAAGGCATGTACCCCACTACAACACCTTTGGGGTTACTGAGCTATGCTAGTCATCAGAGATAGGTAACTAGATAACAGCCTAGTTGTGTTAGACATAATAGTTAGGTAGGACTGTTGGTTGCTTCCCTCCTTTGGAAGCTTGCACGGTGCCTTCTGGTACCATGAAAGCTAGTCCTTAGGAGGCTTTCAGTCCAATCTAGCTCTGGTCGGAGGGCATTTGGGCCCTAGATTTTAAGTACATATGTCTTAGGGGTTCTGTTACTGCCAAGAGACACCATGACCGCAGCAACTCTTATAAAGGAAAACATTTAATGGGGTCTAGCTATTAGTTCAGAGATTTAGTTCAATTATCATCATGGCGGGTTATATGGCGGCATGCATATATTTGTGTGTGGTGTATACTACTTTGTATTCACTTCCTTGGGTCTTTTTGCAACTGTATCACTGCGGCCAACTGCCTAAGACAAACAGCTTTAAAAGGAAAGATTTACGTTGGCTCCTGGCTCCAGACTTCCAGCTTGTGGTCCTTGGCTCCTTAGTCCTGGGTGGATTATGAATTGGTGGAAGTGGGGGCCACTTAGAGAAGGGCCTGGGGCCAGGCAGGACCTTCTGAGCTCCCCCCCCACCCTGATGACCTGCTTCTTCTCCCTTGGATCCACCTCTGGAAGATTACCAGCTCTCAAAACAGCACCACCATCTGGAGACAGAGTGCTAGGTCGCAACAAGCCTGGGAGGGACATTTTCGTTTAATCCACCCTGTACAGTATTTAATGTTATCTTCATCAGATCTCGGGGTGGGGGGGGGGGGTTGGCACCATTGTTATTCTCCAGCATCTTCCCGTATCTTTCCTACCCCCTGTGTTTCCTGTGTCTGGGACTCCCATCATGTCTTGGGCTGTTTGATGCTGTCTCACTGCTTCCCAAGGCTCCTAATTTTTCTTGAATCATGTTTTAAATCTCTGTCCTTTAAGCAAGATGGTTTTTAACCACTTTGCCTTCAGTTCTTCGGTACTTCCCTCTGCCACGTAGAATCTGCTCCAGAGTCTTTCTGGCAACAAATAACACCTTTCAACTCCAGAATTTCCATTTGTTTTTATAACTTCTGTGGTAGTTTGAATAGGAATGGCCCCCATAGGCTCATGTGTTCAAATGTTTGGCCCTTAGGGAGTGGCGCTATTAGGAGGTGTGGCCTTGTTGGAGGAAGTGTGTCATTGTAGAAACAGGCTTTGAGGTCTTATACGCTCAAGCTGAACCCAGTGTGACAGTGCCCATCTGTTGCCTGAAGAACTCTGCCAGGTGTAGAACTCTCTGCTCCTTCTTCAGCACCACGTCTGCCTGCATGCAGCCATGCTTCTCGCCATGACAACAATGGACTAAGCCTCTGAGGCTGTAATCCAGCCCTAATTAATTGTTTTCCTTTATAATAAGAGTTACCATGGTTCTGGTGTCTTTTAACAGCAGTAGAAACCCTAATTAAGACAGCTTCTATCTCCTTATGTTAATTTTCCTCCACTGCTTCACTAGCGTGATATAGTTTTATTTAAAATTTAAAACATAATTTCCTCTAATTCTTTAAATGTAGTCCTTGCTAAATGTATTTGGGGAGACTCAAGGACAATTTCCCTTTGCAATACTCCTCGGAATATGTGTCCCACGTTCATGCTTTTGCACACCATAAATATTTATATTTAAAGAGGGTATCACTATATAGCCCACGCTGGCCTCAAACGCAAGGTCCTCCTGTCTTAACCTCCCAAGTGCAGGGGTTACAGGTGTGCCTCACAATACAGAGGTAACGTATACACACGGCAAGACTCTACTGCCCACTGTAAGTGCAGGAAACTTCCTCAACGGAAGTCTTGATGGATTCTGAGCCCCGCCATGTCAACTGTGGCTGTTTATGCATTTGTTCCTTTGCTTAAGAATTTACCTGGGCTCTGGGAATCATACAGTACCTTCTGGAGAGAGGCAGTGAATTCTCCATCTTAAAGTGAACCTGCTGAAGCTTCTGTGGGGAGGGAGCTGTACCAGCAACAGGTTATCCCCTAGTTTAATGACTGAAAACAAAACTTCTGTGAGTCAGGAATCTGGAGGCCTTCACTGGGTCCTCTGAGGGAGGCCATAGTCTGGGGAGTGGCTTGACTTGGAGGAAGATGTGCTTCCAAGCTCCCCGTGGACTGAGAGGCAGGAGCGTATTCCATAAGGACACCAGGAACAGAAAGCAGAAGCTCTTGCTTGATTTGTCAGTGAGCTATCATTGATCCCTAAGAGATATGCCTCTCCACATGTGACTTGAGTCAATCTGAGAAGGAAGAGAGAACGAGAGAGAAAGGGAGAGGTGAGCAAGCAGAAGCCAGCAGTTTGGACCCTCACCTTGGAAGTAATGCCCATCATTCATGCCATAGTCTATGTGTGAGAAACAAGTCATTCTATCAGCGGCTCCCAGACAGGAGCCACAGGTGCTGAGACGAAGGCCAGCACCACGGGAGCCATTTTAAAAGCTGCCTACTGCAGAACAGCATCCAAGGCCCAGGCTTCTCAGTGTGCTCCCTGTCTGTCTCTTTCTGTTAGGTTCCTTTTTATCTTTGTGTTGACATGTAAGCTAGGGTTGGCAGGAGAGTGCGTCTAAGTGGAGCCCATCTTGATTTTGCTATGCATGTGTTTAGCTGAGGCCAGGAAAGCATGTGGTCACCGGGCCAGCAGAGCTATGAGTTTACCTGCATTTCAAAGTGCAGCAGGAGTGGGCGCTTCCCAAAGCATCAGGACGCCAGCAGCTGGGGTCCCCATGGTGTACTCAGCATGGGACTGGGCTGCAGTGAGAATGCCTCAGAGACTCAGCCCTGTTGCCTGAATTTCCAGTTTTCCAGCATAGATGCCACTTCAGTACCACGCTTCCTCCGAGCAATTTCCTATAGACTCATAGTGGCTTCCAGGGAGGGAGGGCTTACTTTCTCTCTGCTCGGATGCAGGCATCATCCTTCTCAGTGGCCTGTGTTGTGCTGCGATAGCCTCTTTGTTATCATGAGATAAAATCTGTGTGAAAAACGTATGTGTGTAAATGTACTTTAAAATTTAAACTTAAGCCCAATATTTTTCGTTTTGTTTTGTTTTCGAGACAAAGAAAAATATTAAAAAAATATCCTTTGGGAATTTTGTACCTGTATACAATGAAATACGACCATATCCACTGCCCATTTTCTCCTCCAACTTCTTTGATTTCTCTTCCAACTTCCCACTCCCAACTTCATGGCCTCTTCTTATTTCTTCTGTTTCCCCTCCATTTCTTCCTTCTCCCTTTTTATTTTAAATAACACACTAAGTACAATTAGTGCTGTCTGGATGTGCAGGGCTGCAGCCACACACCGGAGCCTGGGTGTGCAGCCACGCACCGGAGCCTGGGTGTGCAGCCACGCACCGGAGCCTGGTGTGCAGCCACGCACCAGAGCCTGGGTGTGCAGCCATCTACTGGAGCCTGGGTGTGCAGCCACACACCGGAGCCTGGGCGATCTGCCAGGGGCCACAGCCCCAGAGAAGAATGTTTCTTTCTTCTCCAGCAGTTGTCAACTGTCAATAACTCCTAAGCTGAAGTAAAGTTGGAAAATGTTTCCTTTCATGTAGGTTTTAATATTTTAGTGCCAGATCACAATGGAAATAGATGCTAATGCCCTAGGTTTACCAAGTGTCCCTCAAGAAATGGTACAACCCCACAAAACAAAACAACAAAACTAAACAGGGGCATGAATAAAAGTTCTTCCGATTATTCTTGAAGTTGCTGGGGCTAAGCTATGTTTACAAAGTTCTTGAGCTAGGCATGACATGCTTATAATCTATGCACGTACTATATGGATGCTCACAATTCTAGCACTTAGGATGTGGAAACAGGAGGGTCAGACGTTCAAAGTCAGCCTTCTCTACATAAGGAGATGGAGGCCACTACCCACCCAGCCTACATCAGATCCTGTATCTGATTAGTCTACATCAAAAGAGTAGCCTATCTCAAAATAATAACAGACAAAAAACAGCAAGAAAACAGAACATTTTCACACTGTCATGTGGTAAAATGGCAGAAATCACTGTCTCTGAAAAGGGAGAGAGTGCTTCCTGCTTCTCACCCTCTTCCTCCACCGACAGCATCCAGGCAAAGGTTGGGATCTCTTCCTTCCTCACTCAGCCCTTGAAGACACGTGATTCACTTTTCCTCTGAATATCTGTGCAAGCAGGTTACCTCAGAAGCAGAAATATGCTGGCTTTCTCAAAGGACATAGCCCTGGAGGTGAAGTGGATCAGGCTGGGGACACTTGTTGGAGAGGAACTGAAATCCAATTGGACAGCCCAGTGGGCAGGACAGGTGGTGGTGTTTAGGGACCCGGATCAGGGTTGGGAAGGTGGCTGGGGGCATTCCTGGGCTGAGGGTGCGCATCAAGTACTTGAAGTTAATCCACTGCTAGCTGCTTCTCCGAGGCTGAGCTAGCCCTCTGGTGACAGCCCTTTAGCCAAAGTGCTCTTCTCCGAGGCTGAGCTAGCCCTCTGGTGACAGCCCTTTAGCTGAAATGCTCTCCACCCCACACAGACTCTTTCCCAGGATTTGAAACACCTTCCAGCCTTTGCTTAATTTTTTATTTCTTTCCCATTTTCAAAATTCAGACTCCACCTCGTTCCTCTCCACATCTTTGCCATGTCAAGCATTGGGCCTGTCTGGACCACAGCTAATGTCTGCCACCCATAATTTGAGACAACAAAAAGTTAGTAAGACCTCTAGGAAAACACGAGTGATTGAATTATCCAAATGAAACAAGGAGCAGAAGAAGGAAGGAGAGTCTGTGAGTGGACTGGGCTGGGTCACTGTTTCAAGATATGCCAATCGAAGTGTCCTGGATGGAAGAGCCCAAAAAGTCATTCTCACTAGTTTAATAGGACTGCATGGAGAGGCCACTGCTCTTGGTGGTTAGGAAGAGGAAGTTCTCCAACTTCAGAGGAAGATACTAAGTGGACTGGGCTGAGAAGCCATGCCAAGACCTAGCACTAGACAGGTCCTGAGAATCAGGACCCACACCTCAAGACTGGGTCTCTAGGAGTCAGACATCACCAGGGCCAAGTAGGGGGCTCTATGTCCTTCCTCTCAGTCTGTCCCTTGCCTACTTCTTTCCTTTGATGCTGGCTGTTTCTCGGTGTCCCTCTTCCTTGCACACCTTCTTCATATAACAGTCCAGCTCTGATTCTAAGACTTACACTTTTTCTGTTCACATTTACAACAAAAAGCCCCAAACCAACCAACCAACCAACCAACCAACAACCAACCAATCAAAGAAACAAATAATAACAACCAACCAGAATCAGACTCTCGTTCCACTCCCATTGGGTGAAGTCTGGTCTTCTTCGGGGCAACTGCCACTCCAATGCCATTGTGATGGAGTGGTCAGAGGGAAGCAGGCACATGGCCTGTTCTCATGCTTCCAGAGCCCCGTGGGAAGCCATGATGAAGAGGCTCAAAGGCCATGAAGTGAGTATAAATGCCCCAGGCTAACCTCAGGCATCTTCTCCCAAGATACCTTTGTACCAAACCTGTGTCAGAAGAGGCCAGTTGTGCCCTGTTCCTGGAGGTCTGCCCACATCCAGGCAGTAGCACCTGAGGCTGTCTCAGGATGGGTGGAAGCCGGGGATACCAGAGATGTTCTTGTAAACACTGGGTAACAGCTAGCTGTCATCTGTATGGGAAAGAAGAGAGGAATTCAAACAAAAGGGCATTTCTGGATGTGTGCTGCATGCCTGGCACAGGAAAGGGAGTGGACCAGAGATGAAGTTGAGCCAGTCCTGCCCTCAGTGACCACTGGGTTTCTTTAAGGGTGGGGAACACAAAGCTTAGGACCTTGTGGTCTCTTTTCAAAGCCTCTATGGCACTCTGGTTGTAGTCTGAGGTGATATAAACACTGTTCGAATTTGAGGGGGAGATTTGGCTCTCATTAGGGCCAGATTGCTCTAAGCCAACTAAGAGCTGCTCCAAACCATGGCTCAAGTGGTTGGGACAGAAGCCCAGTCAGCATGAATTGAGAGCTTTCACTTGGCATGGTGGGAAGGGTTCTTTGTTCAGGTGGGTTTGTGAATGTGAAGCTGGTGATTATCTGCCTTGATAAGGGGGGGATGAAGCTTCTCTGAGGATGAACCCGCATTCAGTTAGGTGGGAGAGCTGAGGGCTTGCTGAAAGAGAAGTCAGTGGCAGAGCTGGCACTGTGTGACAGCTGGACTGGGTGTTCTACTTTTAGTTAAAGACTTCTGTGTGAAGCACAAGACTGCCACAGGTAGGGTGACCATTGCAATCACTGTGGGGTGATCATCATGGCAGAGTTGTTGCGGTAGGCATCACAATTACAGGGATTTGGTCATTGCAACCACAAATGGAGTGAACATTGCAACTACAGTTGAGGTGGTCATGGCAACCTCAGGGGGTGTGGTCAAGATAACCACAGGGGGTGTGAACATCACAATCACAGGTGGAGGGATCATCATAACCACAGGGAGGGTGGTCATGGCAACCACAGTAAAGAGGTCATCAAACATACAGGGTAGATGGTCACTGTAGTCTCAGAGGGTGTGGTTATTGCAACCGTAGGTGGGCATGACAACAATAGTTGATCATCAGAGCCACACGTTTGGGGTGTCATTGCAGCAATGGAGGCAGGGGTGGTCAGGGCAAATACAGATGAGATGGCCATAGCAACCACAGGTAGGATGGTACAGTTCAGAAAGCCTGTAGTAGTTCCTATCTGGTCAGAGTCTCAAATCCAAGTGCAAGATGAGTAACCTATAGAGTTTTCAGTTTTTCAAACAAAGCCAGAAATCATGATTATACACACACACACACACACACACACACACACACACATAAACCTGATTGAGGCCAAATGCAAAAAGAAACACTGATGGTAACTCCTGTGGCTTGGCTCAGCCTCCCCCAGTCATACTCCCAGCTAGGAGGCATGCCAGGCCAGGCCAGGCCAGATGGCAAGAATCTGAGGCAGGCAGGGGAGGCTGCATAAATCTCCTGGATCCTGGGCCTCCTGACCCAGCTCTGTGCTTCCCAGGAAAGGTAAGTCTGAGAAGGAAAGTTTATAAAAGGCGTTCTGTAGCCCTCAAGTCCAGGTTTGGGGTGCTGACATAGGTTTAGGATTAAACGGAGAACTAGAGGTATGTCTCTATCTCAGCTCCATCTCCCTGGGGACCACTGTCTCACTAATCTGGTAGAAGAGAGATATGGTACAGTGTCTTCCTTTTTAAAATATTTTTTTAACTTTTGAGATTAAAATATAATTACATCATCTGCCCCTTCTCTTTCCTTCCTTCAAGCCTCCCCATATACCCTACCTTGCTCTCTTTCAAATTTATGGCATATTTTCCAATAATTGCTGTTACATGCATATATGTATATATTCCTAAATATAAGCTGCTCAGTCTGTACAGCGTTATTTGCGATCATTTGCTATCAGATAGCCAATTGGTACGTCTCTCTCAGAAGACTATTGCTCCCACTTTTTGTGTAGGGGCGAGGTCTCCTGGTCTTGCCCTCATCCACATTGGCATGTCTGTTGTTGAACCTGGTCTCCTCATGATGGAGGAAGGTCATTGGCTAATAAAGGAACTGCCCTGGCCCATTTTATTGGTTAGAGGATAGGTGGGAGGAGTAAACAGAACAGAACGCTGGGAGGAAGAGGAAGTGAGCTCAGAGTCTCGACATCTCTCCTCTCCGGAGCAGACGCCTGAGAGAGACGCCATGCCCCGCTCCCAGCATGAAGCTCCGACCCAGGATGGACTAGGCTAGAATCTTCCCGGTAAGACCGGTTCTCACAGATTATTAGAGATGGGTTGATCAGGATGTGAGAATTAGCCTGTAAGTGCTAGAGCTAAAGGGCCAAGCAGTGCTTAAAAGAATACAGTGTCTGTGTAATTATTTTGGGGCATAAGCTAGCCGAGCAGGCGGCTGGGGTGCTGGGAACGCAGCCCCGCCGCCCCCATTACTACATCCTCATGTTTAGGCAGTCATGTTGATGAGACATTATAAGTACAACTTCTGACATTCTTAGGAGACAGTTGCACAGCAAACTTTCTAACGGTTTGGCTCTCACAGCCTTCCCGCCCTCTCTTCCACAGCATTCCCTGAGCATTAGGTGTGAGAGCTCTTTTGTAGATGCATCTGTTGGGCCTGGGCTCCACTGCTCTGCATTTTGATTGGCTGTGGTTTTCTGCAATGGTCTCCACCTATTGTAAAGACAAGTTTTCTTGATGAGGGTGAGAACTACACTTTCTCTGAAGACTTGGAGCTAGGAGTCTCTGATGAGAAAGAACATGAGACTTTTTCTTTCTGGGTCTAGGTTTCCTGACTTAATATGATCTTTTCCAGATCTGTCCATTTACCGGCAAATTTTTCTTTACAGCTGAATGGTTTCCCATAGTGTAGCATGTGCCACATTTTTATTATTCATTTGTTGGCTGAAGGACTTTTAGGTTGTTTCCGTTTCCTAGCTAGTGTGACTAGAGCAGCAATGAACGTGGCCGAGCATTCACCTGGGAAGCAGGACAGTCCATTGGGCATGTGCCACGGAGTGGTGTAGCTGGTCACACGGTACATGTGTTTTCAAGCTTTTGAGGATTGTGCACACTGATGCCAGAAGGGGCTGTACCAGTTCACAGTCCCATAGACCCTGAGCGAGGGTTTCCCTCATACTCCCCCCCCACCATTTGCTACCATTTGCTGGTCTTGACCATGCTGACTTGGGGAAGGTAAAAATCTCAAAGATGTTTTGATTTGCATTTCCCTGGTTGCTAGGGATGATGAATGTTCCTAAAAGATATTTCTTAGACATTTTTTTCTTCTCTTGAGAACTCTTTGTTCAGGTTCCAGGTCTGTTTTTTGAGTTCCTTACATAGTATGGTTACTAATCCTCTGTTACATGTAGAGCAGGCAAGGATTCTCTTCCATTCTGTGGACTTTCTCTTAACCCGATTGTGTTTTTTTTTTTTTTTCTGGTGTAGAAGCCTTTTAGTTTTATGAGGTTCCACGGGTCGATTGTGGAGGAGTTCATTCAGAAAGCCATTTCCTGCACCTGGGTCACGAAGGAGCTGCCCAGGCTTTCCTTCACCTGCGTCATGTGGGAACTCCCCAGGCTTCCTTCTAGCAGTTTCAGCATTCTAGATGGTTTATCCATTTGGAGTTAGTTGTTGTGTAAATTGATAGATATGGCCTAATTTTCATTTTTCTGCACTCGAAACTCCTTCTAGGAAGCCAGTATCTCTGTAATACCCAAATCAGGAAAAGACACAACATCAACAACAAAAAGAAAACTATAGGCCAATATGCCTGTTGAACGTAAATTCAAAAATGTGCAACAAAATACCTTCAGATACAGATGTACATTAAAAAAGATCATCTACCACGACCAAGTCGGCTTTATCCCTGAAATGTAGGGATGGCTCCACATTGCTAGGCTTCCCGAGCCTCCTTATTCGCCAGGGAAAGTTGAGTGTGCTATCTGCCTATTCCGCAGCCCATGATGCAGGATGTCCATTCAGCATGGCTGTCAGACACTTTAGGGAGTCAAATCAAAGCAGGAACTCAGTTTATTACTGTGATCGTCAGCTTACATAGGTTCAGTGACATCATGTGATGTGGGGGTACCTTCAGCCAATGAGAGGCAACCAAATCCTCCCTCTGGCTGGAGGGGCATCTACCTAGTTTTTGCTGTCTCATCCTCATTCAAATTCGAGCCAGGCTCTTTTTCTGTCCTATAGACCTCCAGGTACAGGCCCTGAGATAATTTTGGCCCAACAAACATATGCAATTCAAAACAACAACAGCATCAGCAACAACAACATGTCATAAGCCACATAAATAGATTTAATGACAAAAATCACATAACTATCTGAATAGATTCAGAAAAATTTCTGAAAAAACCCAGTATGCTTTTATGATAAAAGTCATAGAGAATATAGGGTCAGAAGGAACATACCTCAACATAATAAAAGCTACATGTAAGAAACCCACAGCCAACATGGAGAAAAGCTTGAAGCAATCTCCCTGGGGTCAGAGATGAGGCAGGGTCCTCCACTGTCTTCACCCCTTTTCATCATTGCGCCTAAAGCACTAGCTGGAGCAATAAGACAAGGAGGGAAGTAAAAGAATAAAAATAGGAAACAAGTCAAACTATCCCTGTTTCTAAACGACATGAAGCGAACATT